TTAAAAAAATATTTTTTTTCTAGTAACCACAAATCTCTGTAATGAATCCCTTATCTTTGGTAGATTAAATCCATACATAAAAGGAGTGACAATAGGTTGGCAAACGAGGAGGTATACTGATAAAATAATGCGTATTTTGTCTGGCACATGAGCAACATCAATCCTGGAATCAACAAAATGGAAAATACAGCCAACAAACATGTTTGAAATTGAGACAATCTGAGGTGTGCAGGTAGTTACAGCTTTTTGCTTGGTTTCTCTAGAAGTATGCAGACACACAGCCAAAATCTTCATGTAAGAGACTAAAATGAGACTAAATGGGATAGCCATAGTTATAAATGCAAAAAGCAGGTCGGACATGTTATCAAGAGTTGAGATTGAACATGCAAGCTTCATCACCAAGTGGTGGTCACAAAAAACCTTGTCAATTATATTTCCACAAAATTTCAAACTTATGAGAAATGAAAATGAGAAAATAAAACTAATGATTGAATACATCCATATAACCAGCACTATCATAACTACTTTTCCTGTGTTCATAATGATGTTGTAGCGGAAAGGATAACATATTGAGACATGCCTATCATAGGCCATAGCTGCTAAACTACAAAACGCAACAGATCCACATATGTAGATACAGCACATCTGCAGAAAACACCACGGCAGGGTCACTTCATGTGTATCTGATAACATCTGTGAGAGCATAAGAGGATACAGTGATGTGCTGCCAGCTATTTCATTAACAAATAAATTACATAGAAAAATATACATTGGTTCATGCAACCTTCTGTCAACATATATGATAACTATAAGGACTGCGTTGGCTGCAAAAATTGAGAGGTACCATAACAGCATTATGCTGAAATAAAGGTATTTTAAATCTCCAATGTTACCATAGGCAGCCAGCACAAAAGACCATATCTTAGTTGTATTCTCCATTAGTTTACAGTGTCATGAAAATGTACTAAAGTGAAACAAAGAGCTTTGAACAAACAACTTCAGTAAAAGGGTTTATCTTATCTGTTTAAACTTAAGTCCAATATTCCATCTCCGTCAAAGCAGACAAATTGATAAGCCTTTGGTCACTGGTTTTATAACAATTACAAAAAGTGCAGGGTACAGATACAGAGGGAGACAGTGAAAACAAATGTATTTTGATTATGTTTTCACAAGAGTCATGATTTTTTTCTTCAGTTATTTTCCAAACATCTTACCAAACTCTTAAAGACACATCTCTGCTAACCAGTGAACAGTGTGATTCACTACACTAGTCAAAGTTGCATAGCTGAATTAATTATTGTTATTAATGAATATAACGTCCAGTTTTAGTTATGGAATCACAATGCAGTCTAAAAAAGAAAAGATTGCTTGTGAGATCAGATTTCTTATTCTCATGTAAGTTACAAATGTTCACATGTAAATATTATTATAAGAACATTAAGCAGACAGAGCATAGAAACAAAAATCATATCTAGGCTATACAGATACCATAGACCACAGATGTCTGCTGCCCCTCCACAAGAGAACAAAACAAGCCTTCCCTGAATTTTTGTACAGTAGCTCTACTTGGAGAGATGGGTTGGGCCTCACTACAACGCACAGTCACCTGGACAAACTTTGTTCTTATTATAGAGAAATGTTTTTGAGAATTATTAAAACAGCAAATCATAAAACACTTTTAGTAATTTAGTATTATTATTAAATAATGATTAAGTGAGCAGCAGATTTTGGGCCTGATTTCCCCCTTTTGACCAAGGTCAGCATAGGCTTGATTATCTTGCCAGATTCTCCTGTCGGTGTGTCTTCAGACTAAACTTTTACACTGCATGTCACACCTACACATTCACACACTGATGGCAGTGTGGTCTATGTAGTGAGACCATCAGAAGTATCTAACCCCATTCATACACATTCATACGCCGCCGACAAAGCAGCAGGAGCAATTCAGGGTTAAGTATCTTGCCCAAGGACACATCGGACATGTTGCTGCAGGAGCAGGGGATCAAACCCTCGACTTTCCAGTTGAGGGACGACGACTCTACCATCTGAGCCAAAGCTGCCCCTTACTTCAAAATACAAGCTGGAGAGAGGAGCGGTGTGTGTCTCCTTGCTGCATGTGTTTAAGTTTAACAGAGAGATAAGGCGCCTTAACGAGCCAGCCTGATCAAACAAAGCAGTGAGTAACTTGAGGGGTATTCCATGAAGCAGGATTAAGGAAAAATACATTGTGTTTTATTTTGAAATTGACCGGATGCTCTGTGCGTCGAAAATAGACTCCGAGCGCATATAAAACAGAGCAGAGCGTAGTGCCGATGGTGGCACGCTCCAGAGACCGAGTGAACACCGGCCCTAGCCATTTTGGTGCCCTAGGCAAGATTTCAGCAGTTGCCCCTTATATTGCAGACAGCTTGACCACCAAAGACAATATTCATCAACTTAAAGTAAACTGGCCTACAGCTTTATATTTAACAGAATGTCTTTATTTAAAAAATAAAAAATACTTATAAAATGGTAATAACACTAATATTTCTTATACGTAAATACAAAATAAAATAAATATAAATAACTAGTGTAACAGAACAAACAATACCAAACAGTGCAGGGAGCAGAAGTGGTCACAGACGGCCCAGGGACAGCAGGGGATGGATTTAAATGTTTTATGATTGCATCTGGAGAGAGAAGATGAGCATTTGTGGAAAAATGGGCATTTTATAATTTAATGTTTTATTTAAATATTATTTTCTCTTCTGAGCAGTACAGAAAACTCAACTCAGTAGTTTTCCTTTCAACCAGACCTACAACATGCACACATATCTATTCAGTGAGGACTTATTTCACAAAATGCATTTATGCTCTTAGACATCAATACTCTAAAGGCAAGAGCTTAAAACTATTAATGACAACAGGAGGTGGAAAATAAACATTTTAATCGACGAGGGTGAAAGCTAACTAAACACAAATGTCAAGAAATATATAAGTAGGTTTTGGGTCCCAAACAACGAAGAAGTGTATTACTTACACTGGTTATTTTCTTAACATGAATAATCTTAACCTAATAAAAGTACAATGGAAATAACTGATGTTAACTCGAGCTAGGAAACACTGACGTAACTATCATCCATCCATAACAAGTAGCTTAAATACAACAGATAAATAACTGATCTGTGCAGCACCTTACCTCTTCCTCTTTTTCGTCCCTGGGCTCCTGAGGGCTTTGTTGTTGTTTACATTACGGATGTTTATAAACTTCATGTTAATCAGTGTGCCAGTGATGACAATAACTAATCAGACCTATTTCATTTATGCTGTATAAACAGTCTCTTTTGGCTGTGGTGTGTATGTGACTTTGTGGTTCCTTTATTATATTTTTATTTAACCTTTATTTAACCAGGAAAAAGACTCATCGAGATTAAAAATCTCTTTTACAAGAGCGTCCTGGCCAAGACAGGCAGCAGCACAATTACAGGGTTTCAGACATAAAACACTTAACAACAATGAACATAAATACAGGAATCACAAAAAGAACCATTTATCAGAATCTGTCAGGAAGTCATCAGCAACAAAGCGATCAAAAAGGGCAATACGAGTCAGATATTTATGCCTCTAGATCATTAAGAAGACCTTTAAAAACATTCAAGGAAACCAGCTCCCGAAGATTTAAAGTATCTTGCAACCGATTCCAAGAAGAGGGAGCAGCAGACGTTCCTGAAGCAAGCCTCAAGCAGACACTCAACGAACTTCAGTATTTTCAACTTCGGCATTGGCTTCATCAACTGCTTATCGAAGAACTTGTATAGAAATGAAAGTTTCAGGTTCAGGTTACTTTATTTGTACCCGTAGGTAGATTTTGTTGCAGGGAGAGACTCTTAATACAACACAGACAATACATAAAACACACAAAGTGCAAATGCTCGGTACAGGAGTAAAAGTGCTGAGGTGCAAAAAAATGCGCAGGTTCCAATCACAATTTGAAAACAAGTTGATCTGTAAAAGCTACAGAGCCGAGATCACCAGAATAAATAATACATGAATAAAGAGCCACTAAGAAGCATGACAACAACTTCTCAGGCTGCTATCTCCGTCCCTTCAAGCAAGCCCTTCATGAAATTACAATGACCACTTCAAGCAGCAAAGAGGAAAGACATGCTACACACACTATGACTTGTTCCGCTCTACAATGGCTGCTGGGACAAAGCTCTTCCTATAGCGCTTCGTTCTGCACTGTGGAACTGAAAGTCTTCGTCCAGACAGAAGGAGCTGAAACTCACAGAGGATGGGACTCATCTTTTAAGACTGAGCCGGTGAGCCGCTCCACCTGCCTGGTGTACAAGGTCTCCAGACTCCAGCTGTTGCTCTCCGATCAGCTTACTGGACCACCTCACGATCTGGTTCAGAGAGTTTCTGTTCATCACACAGAGGTTTACAAACCATGACACAACAGAAAAAGATACAATCGACTCGACAAAAGCACGGTAAAAAAAGGTCATCATGGTTTTGTCAATGTGAAAACGGGCCATTTTCCTCAGACAGGATAAACGCTGGTGCCCCTTTTTACACACAGCTTCACACTTCAATTCAAAGTTAAGTTTAGAGTCGATAATTGTCCCAAGATATCTGATTGTACACATTAGACTGGTTGACCATTAATGAGTGTGACTTCTTGTGTGTGGGACTTTTTTCTAAAATGGATGGTCATATCTTTAGTTTTCGATATGTTTAACTGCAGATAAGATTCCTCACACCATTTGACAAAGTCATCAAGGGCCGGACCGTGGCTGTTTTCATTGTCCCGTAGAAGGCTAACAATGACAGTGTCGTCTGCATACTTTATGATGGTCCTATTTTCATATGTACTTTGGCACATATTTGTGAACTCTTATTTATTTTAACTGAGAGGAAGGCCTGTTCTACAGCATTTTGGTATATGTCAAAGTGCTGATCGTCCTTGAGTTTAAAATTCAGTTCTTGAATGTCTGATTTAAAATCAAAGTTATCAAAACGATTGTAAAAATGATTCAAGGCATTTGCAAACTCAGTGTCTGAATTTAAACAATTCAATGTGGTGAGTTGGGCACTCTTTGAATTTCCGAGGCCTGCAATGGCCTTCATGCTCGACCAGGCTGAGCCGAGATTGTTTGTTGCCATCTTGTTTTCTAATTCAGATTTATAATTTTGTTTTGCTCTTAAAACTCCTTTGTCGCTGCATGCAGCTCTGAGGCTGCACCCTGTTTAAAGGCAAGTTTCTTTTTCTGCATGCTAACCTTTACAGATTTGGCCACCCATGGTTTGTTGTTCGGGTAAACTTTAACTCGCTTACAGGGGATGATCATGTCTCTACAGAAAGCAGCATAAGAACATGTTACATCAGTAAGTTCATCTAAATCTTCACAAGATTGCTTGAACATGTCTCAGTCTGTGCAGTTATAGCATTCCTGCAAGCAGAGCACTGCTTCATCATGCCAGACCTTTATGTCCTTTATTTGTGCTTTCTCCATCTTTAAAACAGTTTTATATTGGGGCAGTAAGTGGACACAGTTGTGATCTGAAAGTCCAGCGGTGGTAGTGGCAGGGATTTGTAGGCATCCTTAATTGACCCATAGCAGAGATCCAATGTCTTGTTCCGCCTGGTTGGGCAGGAGACATATTGATAGAAATTTATTAGAAAAATGTCTTTTTGAGGGAGACTTGATTGAAGTCGCCCATTATAAAATTGGGTGCATCCGGTGCAAGTGTGTCAAAGATAGTGCTGGAGGCAGAAATTACATTTGCTTTTGGATGTATGTACACAACTGTTATAAAAAGCTGTGGACACTCGCGTGGCAGATAGAAAAGGCGCAGCGACACTGATAAAAGTTCAACATCAGGCGTACAAAGACGCTCTCTGACAGTCACAGACGCAGCTTTACAGTATTGTTTACGTCAATGGTAAATCAACTGGT